CAGAAGGTGTAAAACCAAGTGAATTTTTTTCTAGAATGTTGATGCAGTACGGTAAAAGTTGTATGAACCGTATGAATTTTTACAAATGGGTTCATCGGTTTCAAAGTGGCGAAACAAGTGTAGGTGATGAACCCCGATGTGGACGTTCAGTGGAAGTTTCTGGTCCCTCGTTGGAATCGAGGATTGACGGACTTATTCGTGATAACAGAAAAATTACTGTTGAAATGATAGCTGAGGAAGTTTAAGTAAGTGTTGGAACTGTTTACAATGTAATTTAGAACAATTTAAAGTACAGGAAAACGTATGCCAGATGGGTTCCCAGACAGCTTACTGACGCTCATAAAGAATCAAGGCTTTCCATTAGTCAAGTTTGAAGAAGACGCTTTTTTTAAAAGAATAGAGACCAACGACGAAGTCTGGATCCATCACTACGACCCTGTGACCAAAAGGCAGAGTATGGAGTGGAAACACACTAGCTCTCCAGTTCGCAAAAAATTCAAGGTTCAACCTTCCGCCGGTAAAGTGATGCTGACCATCTTTTGGGACTCACAGGGTCCAGTCTATTGCGATTTCCTTGAAGATCAGCGAACTATTAATAGCCAATACTACTCTGAGATGCTAGAACACAAAGTTAGACCAGCTATCAGGAGCAAACGCAATGGACTCTTGTCAAAAGGAGTCATTTTTCAGCACGATAACGGCCGCCCTCTTACAGTTCAGCTTCAAGAATTGGGTTGGAAGGTCTTACTTCATCCTGCCTACAGTCCCGACCTCGCGCCATCTGATTTTTACCTATTTGGACCACTCAAAGACGCCCTACGTGGAAAAAGATTTGCTAACAATGACGAAGTTAAGGAAGCGGTGCAAAAGTGGCTTCAGAGTAAATCGAAAGAATTCTTCGCCAAGGGAATTAGGAAGCTGCAAGGAAGATGGGACAAGTGCATAACTGTGGGGGGTGATTATGTTAAAAAATAGCCTTAATTTTGAAAGATTGAAATAAACCCGTTTTGAGTTATAGCCAATTGTCTCTTTACTTATTGAATAACCCTCGTATATTTGTTAAAGAAAAGCTACGAGAGAATACATAAATAAAATAAGATAAAAAACGGCGTTGGTCTAAAGCTTTTGACTATAACTAAAATAAATGTATGATATGGCTATTAACACCATATTCCGAAGAAAAGTTAATTAACGCATCGGAAGTAATTACAAAATCAACAATTTAAATACAACTAATGTCATTCTTAACATGCCAAATATTTCAGTCGGCATAACTATCAAAAAGCAATATTTATATAAACAAAAATAATAGCTGAACTAAGATAGCCTGACTCAAATTTATCTATTTTAATTGTCGTTCCAGGATTAAAGGATTATTTCCAAAGGACAGTTTTTGCAGTGTCGGATAAGGGAGTAACGGTATCTCGTAATAGACGGTATGTAGTGAATTAATTCATTGATTTCCGGAGTAGTGAAGGGTCTATTAACTCGGGGTTCCTTAGATGTTGAGAAATTATATAGACGAAATAAGACTGTGCTTCGCTTATGTAACTTTAAAACTCACAAAACGGTATTATGTACAAAGTTGGAAAATTAAATATTATTTTGGCTCTAAGAAGTTTCGTTGTTAAAACTAGACTGTGATGACACTGGACTGTCCCCTCTTACAAAAGTTCAGAAATCTCAAAACGTTATAAAATTCTGAACAAGTAAAGACTCATTTACTTGGGCATTAAAATATTTAACAAGCGACGGTCGACTCAGAGAATAAAGAATGGAAAAGGCCAATAAACTTAGTACTCCACAGGTTATAACACGATCGGTAAAAAATATAGTATATTACATTACGAGTGTGGAAAATCACTTTTCACACAAGTGATGTACAATATTTTTCCTACGACCACAAAATAATTTCATCAAAAAATGTAAAACCAGATTATTATAATAATTAAAATGTATTTAAAAAAATAATCAACAATAATCGTATTTATTAAATTTTCATAATTTCTAAACAAATAAAAAAAAATAAAAAAAAAATAAAAAAAAAATTAAAAAAAAATTCTGGCACAGCCAGGATTCGATCGCGGTCGTTGGACGGTCTCAAATTGCAAAGTTGATGCTCTAACCAACTGAGCTAACAGGCCTTACGGTAATTGATTGATCTAATCGCTTATGTGTTTAACCAGAATAAAAAGCAAATATATCTTAGTTATTTTAAAATTATTTTAAAAATAATTGTTAAAGATAAATATCTAGGATCTAATTTACAATAATTTAACAATCATATCGATTTTAGTATTAATATGGACATTACATAAATCAAAATAGAAATTATGTGTTTGACATTTTCTGACAGCTACTGCGGAAAGTAGCATATTCTCACTTGGGTGGAAAGTAAATTCTTATTCATACGCGTGTGATATAGGGCACTTTCCATAGGTCTATATAGTGTGATATGTGTCACTTTCCTAAGTGGTCGTAGGAAAAAATAATTATCAATAACACGCAATGGAAAGAGGGGACCAACGTTATATTTTCGATCAGACTAGTTCAGTTTATAGGTGGTTCGGAGTGGGAGTAGCCAGTCTTTTCAAATCAGGGAATTGAAAAAATGTACTTTTGACATTTTAGTAAATGACGAGATAATTTACCTGAATATGAGCGTTTAAATCTGGATTCGTATTTGGGTAAAAAAATGATATATTTGAAACTACAGCGGGAATTTTTAAGAAATAAAAATATAGGGGTTCTCGATAACGCTAACAGGCGGAAATTAACTTGAACTCAACTTTTTTATGATTAAACTAAAGAAAAATTTCGTGACTTTGTCACATTACTGAATAGAAGTATATAAGTATAGGCGAACATTTTCTGAAATGCGAGGTTGGATTCGAGAAAGTGTCGGCATACGGTTGCATGTTTTTTCAGATGATGCTGTATAGTAGTTGATCGAAGAATATATTTTTTATGAAACGCGAGACTGGATTCGACATTCCATATTCATCTTAACAATTTGGATATCACTATGTCGGCGGGAGATCTATTGGTAAAAGCGTTGTGTGTAGAATAGAAACAGGTGGATTCAAATACTCCCACGTGCAGATTTTTCAATTTTTAAATAAATTTGTTTTTAACTTGAGGGTTCAAAAATATTTTTTATTATTTCGTAGGGGTAATATTGATGATATTTTAATGGATTTCCTTGGAATTTTTCTTATTATTCTTTCGGATATTTAACCGATTAGTTTGAGGAACTTTAAAACCGGTTCTTTTAGCAACATTATTTACAGTGTAACATATATCAGAAACTTAATAGATAATATATGCATGCAGTAACATGTTTTGTAGACGATGTTGACGAATTATTGAAAATTTTCTAAAACGCGCGGTTGGACTAAACATCTTTGGAAATTACTAATATGAAGACTAGAGATAAGGAGGCGAATCGGCATACTCAAGATACGGTTCCAAAAAAAGCACGCTAATTGAGCTTTTATAATTAACCGCATGAGCGTTAGTATTGCTTACGGTGTTCAAAATACATGGCTTCTTATGGGAATTATACATAATTTTGTCAAAATAAAAAAAAAATTAACTTGTTTATAGCTAAATAAAACACAGAACGTACTGTTATGTTTATTTCTGAATAAGTATTGCATGTTTTAATTCATAAATTATTTAATTGTAATTATATAAAATACAAATTAGGTTGTTATAACCAAATTCAAAAAGGTTTGTTAAATGCTAAAATTTTATAAGTACAATTTTATTTTATTTCGCTAAAAGTATTATCAGTAAAAATAGTCTTATAATGTTTGATAATATCTTCTGAAAAGTATAGAACAGTATCATCTCTAGAAAGTACTTTATCGGCACTAGGAACGATGTATATGTTGCCACTGTTCTAAGAGTTTATAATAGTTATTTATTCAACAAGTGCAAAAAGTAAGTGTTTATTGCACGCGACGCGAAATTGTCCATCAGGCCGAGTTGGACAACACTTTGAGGGCAATAAACACTTTTTGCACGAGATGCATACAATATTTTTTCTACGTTCATGCAAAAACCAAAAATGTTTTATTTAGGCGACACTAAGTGCAAAAGAATAAAAAGTGTAATTTGACAGAAAAATATTTAATAACTAATAATTAGCATCGATTAACATTGAAAATGTACTATAACTATGTTCAGAAAAATAATTTAACCAAAACTCTAGGAACAACTGTGTTATGAACAATAATTAAGCTTAAACGTTGTTTTTGCCACTAATATTAAAAGTAAATGTACAATTTTTAATATGAATATTTTTTAAAACGTAATACAATCTCACAGAATAGTCCAGGACATTTAGATCAAAATCGACCGGAATAGCGGAAATTTTTAGGCAAAGCATATATCGAGATGCGGTTTTCTACATTGTATTTTGGAAGGTCCCAGGAAAAAAGTTTATATCGTCTGGTTTAGCCATTTTTTTAAAAATGCCTTCTGGGCCGGAAAATGCATTTTCCAATTGCATCATTAGTTGCACCATTATAGGAACGACTGGAAACTCGGAAAAATCACTCGAAAATCGTTGCTTGCGAGTTTTCGGGGCTGCGAAACTTGATTCTGGCATTAGAATTAGCCAGGGTTGCACAGGGGTGGCTCTGTAAAGGTGCGCGGGGGGTGAATTGGGGGAGAAATGACAGCGTGCATGAAAATCGCTCCAAACTCGTTACTCGGGGGATTTTTAGGGATGCTTAATTCAATTCTGGCATTGGAATTACTCGGAGGTGGCACTGCGGGGGTATACGGAGGGACATTCTGGGGGGAAAATTGCATATTCTATAGGAAGCGCTCCAACCTCGTTACTCATATGTTTTTGGGAATGCCGAAATCAATTCTAGTATTAGATTTTCCCGGGGGCGCTCGGTGTTTTCTCTGTGGGGTTGTCTGGAGGTAATTGGGAGGGAAATGGCAGCGTCCATGAAAATAACTCCACAATCGTTACTCGGGGGGTTTTAGGGGATGCCGAATTCAATTCTGGCACAGTCGGTTTCACAAAAATAAGAAATGTTGATTAAAATTTTCTCCGGACCGGCTTCCTGGGTCATGGTGACAGGACTGAGCTCTCCACCCACCAAATCCCACCCCCAATCCAACGGATCTAAGGTCTCGTCTTGATATTGTGAACCATACCATGCCTGTACTTGGAAATAAAAACGCTTGATATGCTCGGTTAACGCATTGGAAGTCGGGATTATGCATGCAAGATCAACTTTTCTAAAATTGGCCGCTTCAGCATGCATTTAGACAAACTAGACAAACTCAATTGCAGGTTTATCGCTCGTGCACACATCATTGGGTGTCCCGTAAAGCTAAACGAAGCTCATAATCTATTAGTTATCCATGGATACGTGTTTGCTTAAATATTTCTGCAAACCCATATAAATCATCGGTCTTTTCAAACAAATCGCACAATTTTACTTTCCCTCGATATAAAATTGCTGAGTTCGTGTCGCATCACATGAAAGCATGCTAAGCTTTCGGAAGAATACACAACATCAGGTACTTTAGAGGAAGGCGGCTTCAGCAAGAACACTTCTAGATTCGGTGGAGTCCGAGCAGCAAGCATTGTTAAGACGTCAGTATCTTCCGAAACAATAACCACTTTATTTTTGTGGCTTCCAAAAGCAGTCTCAATGGCCTTGAGCACAATATCAACATCCGCATCAGCTACACTCTGCTGAGACATTAAATTAGCTCGTTTCAATTTCTCCTGGAGAAATTTAATGAGCTAGACCTTATTTTTGCTATTCCAGAGAAACTTGTCCTGAGTTATACTTACAAGCAACGTCATGACAGTCCAGGAATCAGGAGCCATGCGCACGGTGACAAAATGGTTTTTATAATATGTGTAACAGTTATTTATTTAATATTAAATCAAAATTTTTATTATTTATCTCCCTCGGGTAATTCTAATGCCAGAATTAAATTCGGCATCCCCGAATACCCCCCGAGTAACGATTTTGGAGCGAATTTCATAGACGCTGCCATTTCCCCCCACCCAATCACTTCCAGACAACCTCACAGAGCCACCCCCGAGCGCCCCTGGGGAAATCTAATGATAGAATTGAATTCGGAATTCCCGAAAACTACCGAGTAACGAGTTAAGAGCGCTTCCCATGAACTACACAATTTCCCCCTAGAATGACCCCCGGATAATTCCAAGGCCAGAATTGAATTCGGCATCCCCGAAAATTCTCGAATAACGAGTTTGTAGGGATTTTCATGCACGCTGCCACTTCTCCCCCCAATTCTCCCCAATTCTTCCCCAATTTACCCCCCGCTCACCCCCACAGAGCCACTCCCGTGCACCCCCGGGCAATTTTAATAACAGATTCGATTTTGGCAACCCAAAATTTCCGAGTAGCGATTTCCGAGCGATTTTTCCAAGTTTCCAGTCGTTCCTATAATGATGCAATTGAAAAATGCATTTTCCAACCCAGAAGGCATTTTTCAAAAAATGACAAAACTAGACGATAAAGACTTTTTTCCTGGGACCTTTCTGAACACATTGCAGAAAACAGCATCTCGATATCTGCTGTCCCTAACAATTTTCGCTTTTTTCCTAACTTCCCTGGACTAAAAAATGAAAATGGACTAAATATTTGGCGTCGTTTTGAATATTTATGTTTGTCATGATCATAAAACGCTGTAGTAAAATGACAGATGCGTGCAATAAATTTTTTATTGCACTAGTGCAATAAAGAACCAGTTTTTTCACTAAATATATTTCAATAAAGTTTTGTTTTCTGCATGAACGTAGAAAAAAACATTTACAATGACACAATTGGGGTTCAACAAAAAAATAACAGTAGCAACTCTTTTTCTAACATTGAGACTCTATAAGAAATAAATTTTCTTTTCTAGTAGGTTGAATTTAATGTAAAATTATTTTTGTTTGTAAGTCAGGATCTATGACTGTAATATTTTATATCACAAAAACTTGTCATAAAATAAACTACACTCCGTAAGATACATATTGTGACTAGTTTACAATAAATATTATATTTTGACATAAATACATTATTTTACTTACATTAGAAGCTTTAAAAAGATATTAAATTGATTTCTTCTTGTGTTTTCTTTAGTGTTACATTTGATTTGTATTCTGTTTTACAATCTGGAACGACGTAAATCTTGCTTTAAAGTTTTTTGTCACTCATGTTTCACATTATTTTGATTCTCTTCACCAATTTGTTAAAAAAATCACTTCATTTTACATTGACTTACATAAAAAATTGACACCGCTATTATTTGACATGCCAACTCCAGTCAATTTCGCGAAATTTATAAACAGAAGGATGGAAATTTAAAATTTGACCATTGCCGATTCGCCTTCTTCTCTCTAGTCCTTATAATTACTGTCAGCTTATGTTTAACTGTCGATAAGTGAGGATGTATGTTTACAATACTCTGTAACTAGCTCAGTTTTGTTTGCGTATGTAGTGCAGATAGTTTTTAATCGTGATTGTTTAAAACATCAATAATGATTGCTAAACGAAATTTTTAAAAACAAAAATAAAAATGTACCAATTAAAATAGTTTAATATGTGTAGAAAAAAATTTAAAAAAACAGAATCAACACCTGCTGAAGTACTTTTGGAGCAAAAAACAGGACTTGATCCAGGTAAATCAAACAAATAATATGGAAACAATGGAAGTAGGAGCCCAACAATATCGCTCCTTATTTCAGGAAAATCAAGCTAGAAGTCGGAATGAACAGGTAATGCTTAAAAAATAGAAAAAGCTAAAAAACAGTAACTACAAAGTGCATTGCAACAAATGAAAAACAATATGGAAAATATGCAAAAACAAATTAATATCTTAGGCAAAGTCTAACAAATTATAAGACCAATGAAGAAGAACTGGCAAATGAAATCAGCGATCAAATTAACAGAGAAGTACAATGAATAACAGCGGAACGCAGAAACAATAGAAAAAAAAACGAAAAGTTAACTCCTCTCCAGAAACCTCTCCTTGCCAACCTGTAGGTAGCAAAAGTCTACAACAAGAGAAATAAATAGTTAAAAAAAAACAGTGAAACTTTTGCTGATTACAGCAAGCAATATTAATAAGTATGAAGAATTGCGCCATGCACTGGTAGAAAGTCACAGCTCTAAGCAATAACCAATTTAAAATTAATACTAATTAAAGATTAATTGGAATTCCAATGAAATTAAAAAGAACAGAGACCTTAAAGTTATGGTTAAAGATCTACCATCTAAACCTGAAGGTAATGTTGAAGACTTGCAAAGTCAAGGATTAAAATGTAAAGAAGCTATCAATAGAATAAAAAAGGAAATAGAACTAACCAAGGATAACACTCGTAAACTAAATACAAAATCAGTGCCGCTATTCATGATGTCCTTCAAAAATATTGAAGATATCAAGAAAATTTACGAAATCAAAGCAATACTTAATCAAAGAGTTAGAATAGAAACCATAAGAAAGTCAAAACTGGTTCCGCAATGCAAAAACTGCCAGCTATTTCGGCACACACAACTTTGGCAAAATAGAATCAAGATGTGTAAAGTGCGTAGGAAAACATCACACGAAGGATTGCGGAAAAAGTCCAGTACAACAACCAAATTTTGTAAACTGCCTAATGGAACATTCTGCTAACTATAGAGGATGTAAGGTGGCTAAAACCTTTGAGATAAGGTAGGATAACATCACTAAACATAAAATATTGACGAGACAGAGGAGACTCATAAATTCTTTTCCTACTGTCAGAAATGAAATAACATATTCTCAGGTAACAAACTCACAGGAGCAACCAATTCAAATATCACAACCAGGTATAAATCCCACATAATAAATTTAGCAGCATACTGCACAGTCAGCCAGCCTAGCAGAAAATACCACTCATATTATCATTAAAATTCTCCAAAAACATACTGATATACAAGTTTTCTTGGACGTACAAAAAATAGATATAGGTCTGATTTCCGAGACCCATCTTACAACGGAGTATTTTATTAAATTCAGAAGTCACAACGTGTATCACACTATATGTATATCCATCAAATGCAACAAGACGAGGAAGTAAAAATTTCGGGGAAAAATTACAATAGCTGCAATCTATTGCCCTCCAAAACACAACCAGAAAAAAGAAAATTAAAAGAAAATTATCTCAATATACTCAAAAAACTAAGTAACAAATTTATAATTGGTTAAGATTACAACTCCAAAAACATCATCTGGGTTTTAAAATTAACCATAATCAAAGGAAAAGAATTGCACCGAGCTGCATCGGAACTTGGTTGTACATACTAATCTTCTAAAAAACCGACCTATTGGCTCACCGATCCAAATAAGATTACAGACCTTTTGGATTTCTTAATTCTTATAAACTTTTTACCCAACTATACACAAGTAGAAGACGTAGTTTCAGACCACTCTGCAGTAATCTTTACTCTAAGTGATAATGTCATTCAAAAAGAAGCAAAACTGGAAATCGAATTGGGAAGGTTTTCAAGAGGACATAACATATACTATTCAACTAACCATAACACTAAAAATGAAATATCAGCTAGATTACCAACTGGAAAGGTTTATAGTTGAAATCTAGCAAGTTGCATAAAGAAACACACCAAAAGTAAGATTAGTAGCTGAAAATAAATATCCTGTAGAGATAAAAGAACTGCTAACAGATAAAACTAAGAAATAAATTGCAAATAAGAAGATAACCAGAAGATAAAAATATACCAAATAGGGCTACCTAACGACTGAGAAGAGAAATTCCAAATCACAAAGAAGAATCCTTCAACAGATATCTAGTAGTGCTAACAGATGATACAGAATCAAAAAGATAAAAAAATTCGTGTTCTCCTATGAGAATACACTGAGAGAAAAAAGTAGTTTATATTTAAAATATTGTAAGTTAGAAAAAAATTCTTAAAATATTAACTGAGTAAATTTATTAATACCATAATATTATAATTATTAATAAATATCTCACAAATAGAGTTTTTCTTTAACAAAACATTTGTTACAGTAAGCTATAGTAGATATTAACAAATATTTTACTCGGCAATATACGTCTATTTAAAAATAATTATTATGTTTATCTAAACATCACAAATTTCTTAATATTAAAATACAACACCTTAAATATAAAAATTAAGCTTTCGCGGTCTACGAAATAAATAAATTTTAATATACAGCTATGATAAGTTAACTATTAGCGAATATATTTTTAATAATACACAGACTCAACGTCCCCTTAATGCGGTCATTTGAGCCGATCTCAACGTTGCCATTCACGTTTTGTTATTGCGCTACCATAGGAAATGTAAACAATTCAAATTACCTATTAGGTACCATTTTGCAATATTTTTTCTATTTATCGTTAACATAAAACTAGGGTAAATTAATTTAAAAGTTGTTGGCTGTATTACTAGTGGCCTATCACTAATTATTGTATCATAAATTTGCATTTTTTTAAGTGCAGTATGCAGTCCCAGTGGGTAGGTAATTTGAGTTTCATAAATTGGCAACATGGAACACCACGTGGTTTCCAATTGCCATTTTGTTAAGGCACATTCTTGTCTGGTCGCAGTTTGTAGTGCAGAGTCGTTCTTCTTGTGAGTGACGCCGACATTAGCAGCTAAGTTTATTAAAAGTTTACAGTAAGTAGAGCCCAAATTTTTTTCACATTCTTGTTTTTAAAAAAGGCTTAAATGCAAGAATTGTTTTAAATTATTATTAATCGAATAAAATTCCATCGTTAACTAATTAAATTTTTACATTACTAACGACAAGGCCGTAAAATAAATGCGGCCAAAAAAGTGA